ATAATTTTTGCTTAACAATCCAAAAAGTAGCATTAAGTTAAACACCCAAAAGGGGGGAATTCATATCGTAAAACTAACTTCACGGACTAAATAGTTTAGTGAAGGTAGTATGTAGCATTTTTATGAAATGATACAAAAGAAATCACACGAAACTAATGTAATTATTAGGCATGACCCAATACATGCTCCCTTTTCATATCTTATTCAATTTTACGATCTTTTCCCATTGCTATTTGAAGCAACCAAAAAACACTTGATAATACATAAAATAATAAGTAGGAGATATTTAAATAAATAAACTCGTTTTTGAATTAAATCTGAAGTCGAGATTCCAAGACTAACAAAGTTTTTGGCTTCGGGGATGCAGTGGCGAGAAAGCGCATTTGGCGGTTTCCTTCTGTATTTCGCATGCAGATTTTCGAATGTTATTACGTGATACAATATCTCATGTATTGCAATGATTGTGAGATAATACATAAAATGATAATACATAAAATGATAAGTGGGATAATACATAAAATGATAATACATAAAATGATAAGTAGGAGACATTCAAATAAATAAACTTGCTTTTGAATTAAATTTGAAGTCGAGATTCCAAACTAATAAAGTTTTTGGCTTCGGGGACACAGTGGCGAGAAAGCGCATTTGGCGGTCTCTTTCTGTATTTCACATGTAGATTTTCGAATGTGATTACGTGATACAATATCTCATGTATTGCAATGATTGTGGGAAACAAAGTGCAATATAAGTTTTTAGCGAAAAAATTCCACTTTACTTCTACCACGTGACTCAAGAGGGTAAAGAATGATAGCATTGTTTTTTTGTGTTCAAAGTATTTTTTTCTCAGAAACATTATTTTGGCATTGTTTCTCTTTGTTTTTAAGAACCAGTAATACAATTTTGAGAAACAGCAGGGAATCGAATGGAAAATGTTACAATTTTCTTCTGCTTTCACTTTTGAGTAAGCAAATTTCCCAGAGGCAAAGCATTTTAGAGAATTTGCATTTTATATTTCTAACTGGATTGGAATAGTTTCTGAAATTTTGCATCGCATTTTTCTTACGTTTCGTAAGCATGTCCCCTCTTTTCAAGTCGTTAATATTTTATTTAAGTTATTTTACGAAAATTATTGTGCCTGCAATGTTTTTTTTCCATCTTGAATCAAACAAATAGGGAGAACAGATTCTTTTTTACTTATGATATATTGTGAAAAGTAAAATAATAATAAAAAAATTAGAGTTTTTATTATTTAGCAAATGATAACAATGATACATGTGATAAAAATTATACCTAAATGATACCAAAATATAAAAAACTATACTTGAAATATTAGAAATGCAGTTTTTTTTAATATTACGATATATTAAAAAAATGAAATTATATAATAAGAGTTAATTACTACTCATTTTGCTATTCTGCCTCGTTCATTAAAATTCAATTATTTTCTCTAACAATATTATATTTTTTTTCATTTTATTTATCAATATTTGTAAATAATCAGTTTTATTTATCAAATAATTTTTTTTTATTTCTCTAGCTATAAACCTTGAAAACTTAGAGATTTCTTTTAATTATTAAAAGAAATAGTGCTGTTAATTCTCTTTTAAATGGTGATATTAAATTTTGTTTCTTTTTTCAGAATTAGAATGCAGAAAAAAAGGTTAGATTTTTCCTACATATTTTATTTTATTTTACAACAAGCGTTGAACAGCCGACCAATTCTGAGTTTAAGATCACCAATGTTCAACTCCGAAGCCTTGTAATTTTGAATCCAATCCAGAAGACAATGGAACTCCTGGATCAAGTATTGGGAGAAATTTGTCTCTCGTGAAGGTCTTTTTGATGAAACTAACCCGCATTTGCATTAAATGGAGAGGAAAGTCACAAAATTCTCAAACGGTTAACTAACGGCAAGGAGACGCTGACCCATGATGATCCGTCTACCATTGAAAATATTATATGTCAGCACTGTGATCATTGCAAACCGGCTGCGGAATTCGTATCAACCAGTCATTGCAGGGATTCGAACTCATTTCACCTCATTGGGAGGCGAGTGCTCTATCACCTGAGTCACTACGGCTCTTTCCTACGTATTGGAATTTAATTTGTGATGAAGCTTTCTTCATGATCGAAGGGTTCCAAAATGTGGAAAACGACATCTTGCAGTGCCATAGTGTGAGACTACTGGTTTCGTGAGTTGTTCATAAGTTAAAATTTGAATTAATGTTATTTGCATCACGTTTTTCAATTATGCTCATCTGCATCATGTTTATCAATCATGTTTATGCTTTGGTTCATTTGTTCAAGTCAATGCACAGATATAAATTCGACTTTTTTTTTTTGCAATGGTTCTCATGGACTTCGATACTTTCTACTATACTCTGTTGCAAGTTATGAAAAAAAAATATTATTCCTATGGAGAGAACCTGCTTGCATCTAAGTGCGTGCCAAATGGCTGTCAAGCTCCAGCGCGAAAATATTCTAAAATTGCCAACTTTTGAAACGATGTTGCACAGACTTCTTTTTGCTTGCTTTCTTGAAATGGATTGAAATGAGAAAAAGAAAAGTTATTGAATATATTGATTAATTAACAAGTAATAAGAATTAATAAAAATAATATCTGAAAATCGTAACAAATATTCATCTTTTCGCATTTAAAGAAACTGATGAAAGAATAATAAATATTGTTTCTTGCCGACTATTTTCTCCTACAGTGAAATAAAAGTAAAAACTCCGTTACTCGCATTTGATTTGTTAAGGACGAGTCAGCAGAACAGGCACCATTTTTAGTGGTCCAATCAAATACAATGCTCTTGTAACGTCATTTAAATGCTTCTTTTCGAGACAAAATGTTCTCCCTATTTATGAAAATACGTCACCTAGTCAAGGATTCCAATAAGATTTCGAAACTATAACCTTTTTTTAAATAATTCTGCACTGCATATAGTAAAACATAGCACGAATTAAATATCCGTCTGACGTATTTAACTTTTAAAAGCTTTCAAATTGTTTTGAAAGCATATTTGTATAATTTGATAACGAAATGAAACGGAACTGAAAGGGAACTAACTGTTCAATCAAATCCAATGTTCTTGCAATGTCATAAGGTTGTTTCTCTTTTAAGAACGAAAGTTTTCCTTATTTAACGAAATATGTCGCCAAATCTAGAGTAAGGCTACTGAACTATAACTTTTTTTTAATATTTCTACGATATATATGGTAAAAGATAGCACAAATTAGAACTTAGCCTCAAATTTTGTAACTTTTAAAAGCATTTATATTGTTTTGAAAACATATTCGTGTAATTTGATGACGAAATAAAGCGGAACTAGATGCAATCGTGGATGATTACTTATTCTGCACCGTAATGATGTTTTCTTAACTTGCAACGGAACGGTTATTCTTAACTTGCAGTCATTATTGTAGGAGGGGTAGCGAGCGTAGGAATTTTGTGTAGGCAACCAAAGTGTTGCAAGTGAGGGATAGCAATAGTGATTTCACGACCCCGTATCTTCCGATACGCTGGTGATGTGTAGGAATCTGATATTTCATTGGTTTTTGTCAGTGCATTTAATTCAGGGGGTGGGGGGCAGATTTTTAAGATGGTTGGCTAGTGGGTCAACGACTGAGAGAAAGAATTTCTTGGACACTTGAAATGGCTGAGAACACTTGGAGACTTGAAAATGGTTTTCAAAGGTATATGTAAAAGACGCAGAGGAGTGGAAAAGCTAAAAAAAATTGAAAGATTTTGGTGCACATTCTGCAGTTATTTATTACGTGCTGCGTGATGATAGTGGGTGAGTAAAATTTATTTGAAATGCTAAAAGACAAATACATTGAGTGTTAAAGTGTGTGTGAGTGATATATAAAAAGTAAGACCATATCCAATATGTTTAAAGTGCTTCATTTCTTTTAAAAATATACAGGGGGGATCCTATAGTTACTGGTGGAGTCAATGGTGAGAACCATTTTACTATTTTATTGTTTTCTCTGTTGTCATATTTTGGCTTTGCTTCCGTCCACCTAATTATTTTAAATAAGTGTTTTTTTCAATTTGTTAATAATAATTCTTTACATGCATAATTTTTCTGATTCTTGGCAAATAGATTTATTATTTTGTTTTCAAAGTTTATTTTGTGTTCCTTTGATATCTTTCACACCACTTTAATCCCAAGCCGAGCGAAACCTAGATTGTATTTTGGAATTGCGGTAAATGCTTGATTATTTTTGTAAATTAATATTATGTCGGTTGTTGGAATTTGATACTAGTATGGTACCTAAAGGCCAAGATTACCTATTTTAAAAATACTCCCACAACAATTATCAATAATTAAAATATCATATATTTTTTATCACATTTTCATTGATGAGAATAAATATTTGAAGAAATTTTAAGTCTGAGTTCTGTTAACTATGCTTATATTCTCACCAATTACTTTCATGATTTATATTACAAAATCTTACTCATATGAAACATATATTTCATAATATGAGGATAATGCATACTATGTGCTACATAGACCAAAACAACATGATATAAAGCACAAATAAAGGCACAGATATAGACATATTATAGTTTCTTGTCTATAAACAAGAACCTTTCTGAGTGTTTAAACTTAAAACGACAGCAGTAGAAAAGTAACAAGGAACGAAGTTTGACAAGCCACTAAAAGGGAGATAAGAAATAGGTGTGGGAAGGTTTAGGGTGGAAAGATGCAAATATTAGAACATTTTAACCTGGGGGGGGGGGAGTAAGCTTAAACAAGATAATAGAAGAAGGGATATAGGGATATAACAGAAAGGGTGAAGGAGTGACGGTGCTTGGTAATCAATTCTAATTTCTACATCTTGCACTCTGAGGTTCCTTCCAAGCCCTCTCACATATGTTTCTTATCTTTCTTCTTTTATTATCTTATTAAACGTCATTTTTATCCTCCACTTATTAAACCACTTTGTAAGTGTTTGTCTCCTAACTTTTTTACTGTCATTTTGAGTTTAGACACTGAGGAAGGTTCTTGCTAATACTACCAAAACTATACAGTATGTCTATTTTTGTACCTTTACTTATGCTTTATTCGCATTGTTTTACTTGATTCATATATTTATATGTATATAATAAATATCACACTTTAGACAAATATTACATGACTGAGGTGACGTTAAATTTTCTTTTAATCTTGTTGGAATGCTACAATTTGGAAAAAGTTAGGAACTTCTTATCAATTTTCATGATTTTTTTCATTTTTTTTTTAAACGATTTGATTTAAAAAACTTAAAGCGATTGCTCTACAAAATTTGGAATTTGTATATTTTAATGTTTTGAAGAAATTGAAAAACTTTTGTTTTAAATTTGGTTGGTTCATTTTTTCAAACCAACATTTTTTTCAAATAAAATCATTTTATTTTTTCTAGATTGAAATTCGCAATTCTTTAAATCTTTTTAAAAGCTACTAGCAGAAAATGTTGAAGAAAAACTAAAGTATGAATGATTTAATTAATATAATTTAAAATTTGTTTATAGTAAATCATAATATGTTAGCTGCATGAAAATTAGAAAGCATCACTTTTTTGTAAAGTTTTTAAATTAGAAATTTTTTTAAATGACTCGCTATAAAGCTTTGTGAACAAATTTCGTTAAAAATACATCAGAATAAATTGTATACTTAATAAATGGCTCAAATGTTTCAAGAGAATATAGCTATTTTTTCTAAAAAAAGTTTCAAAAATAACAGCTTCCAAGATTCCTTTAAATAGCGTGATTTTCACCGTTAGAAATATGTATTAATAGTAGGTATTCATGTATTTTAAAATTTTTTTGCTTTTTTTCAATGATCATAAGCAAATTACCTTCTTTTATTAGCCCTCCAGCATTTGATCACACAATAAGAAAATATTGTAATTTACTTACTTAAATGTGAAACATTATCTTTTTTTTAAAGATATCATATGACAGATGTAAATAGGGTTCAGTACTCACCTAAAAATAAAGAAAAACAGAATATTATAGTTTTGGGAGCATTAACTTCAGATAATCAGTTCAATAAAAAAATCAAAAACAGTTAATAACTTGTATGTAAATGTTAATTTTAATTGAGACATTCATGAGAGATTCGCAATTTACAGCCATGACAGAAAAAAATCTAATATTATGGTTAAAGCAACCGAGATTTGTTTGCAATTAAGGTTCGAAAATTATATTGCTGAAAATTCCGATGTAAATTTTACATTTACATGGCCGGCCGAGCATGTAAATATTCAATCAAAAGTGCCCATTAAGCAACCCTAAAATGTTGACAAAAATCACCAAGATGCCTGACGTGTCTAACATAAATGACCCTAAGGTGGAGAGAAAAGAAGACGAACGATTTCATTTGATAAAGCTAAAATGTAGTGAAACTTTATAATATGAATAAATAAGAATTATATAAAATATAATATATAAAAAAAGACCTGAAAAAACTAAAAGAATTATATAAAAAAGAAATCAGAGTCAAAATTATCTCATTCTATTTTATTCCCTTAGTCTTGCCTATTTTTATTACAAAAAATTCATCCCAACCGCTGTGCTTAGAAAAATCTATGTATATAATAAAATAAAGAATTTGTGTACTCGTCTGTATACCGAATTGCGGTTGAATCGTAGGCATTAAAAATACGACACTCAACATAAAGTTAACGCTATTTTTCGAAGCTCTGTCACCAAGGAATTTAAAAAAGCCTTAATTTAAGTGCCATTCACTTACCGCAATTGGATGATTTGGAACTATTTATATAATCTTGTCGTGAACTATCTGGGCCTTAGAACAGAATTTATAAATTTTAAAATTTATTAAACTTTCTTAAAGGTTGCCAATTTGGCGAAATTTTTCCACCCAAATGAAAATTATCAAAATTACTGCCGTATTCTCCGTTTTTCTAAATTTTTATGAGCCCATGTAATGCAGCATTGGAGAAAGTTTATAAATATTAAAAATTAGACCATAAATGCTTTTCATTTTTACAAAACTGTGACCTTTCTTCATATTAACGTTTTGCACCATTTTGAAAATAAGCGTAGACAGCGCTGGCTTTAAATAGGCTAAACTTGACCTGACAGTCATGAGAAACAGTTGCAAACTCACAGCAGTTATACCAATAACATATTATAAGCGAAAAAGCATCATTTCATACTACGATGGAGCCTTTGAGAAACAGTCTTAAATGACTACAAATAAACTAATTACGAAGCCCGATTTTCGTTATTTTAAGTAAGATTTCTCACTCAGAGATATTTAAAAATGTAATTTTCCCATTGGTTTAAAGGAAGCCATGTTTTAAATTATACTATAGATAATTCAGCTTAGTCAAACATTTCAAACATATTAATATTAGTTAACACTATAAATTTTAACATTAATTCACTCATATTTTAGACACCTTTGACGCAAGTGTCTTAAACATGCGTGATGCCTGCCTCAAAGCACATAGACATATGTCATTTGTACGAGAAAAAAAATGGAATTAAATTGAAAGATTTGAAAATAGAGAAAGATGACAAGCGGTAAAATTATGAAACATCAATAATCAGTGAGAAAAAAATGAAATTGATAGCAAACACAAATCTAAATTAATTTATCCATATACGACCCAGTTTTCAGAAATAATACTGGAGTAAAGAATGTTTTTTTACTTTTAGATAGTATACACAAAAATTTTTTAGTTAAACAGCCGTATAAAAATTTAAGTCAGCAGTACATTATTCATAATATCTGAAAAAAAATTAGATCTAACAAATTTTTATAGGACTACAAATGCTACCAACAGGGTAAAAGAAACTTCTCAAATGTCTAAAAATTGATGTAAATATTACAAGTATCTAATAAACTAATACACATGCTTTGCAAAATTTTGAAGTTGTTAAGCACTTTAAAAGAACAACTGTTAGAAAATTTTGTGCCTATTATAGTACTTCTTAAACTTGAATACAAGATATTAGGGCTTAACTTGATAGATACATGGTTCGATTATTAAGGCTATAGCAAGTTTGCTGCCAATTATGGTTTAGGGTTTTAACTAATTCATAGTCGGCATCATTTTCTGCAGTTAGGTTTTTTTTAATTGAAAGAAATGAGCAATAATTCTGTTTTCAAAAATTGTTTCAGTAGAAATAAATTCAAATACGTACGTTAACCACTGATTTAAAAATATACGATACACGTTTAAGCAGATGAAATGGGTCAAGCACATCAATTGCAAAATTTAATTAACAGTTCCCAAAGTTTAAAGTAACTATATAAAAGTGAACTTTCATTATCAGCTTAGTTTTCTGGAATTCCGTTTTTTTATTGAAGGAAATGAGCAATAATTCTGTGTAGTTACATGCCCGGGAGTGATTTTATTTTGCTGGCGTGAACAGATCGATTCCGTTTCTGAAAGAATACATAAAACTTCATTCCCCTTTCTTTTTGCCGACTTTCAGAACGTCGATATTCTACATCGACAAACGTTTTATTCTTGCAAATGTAACCATTTTTTCATTTTATCTTTGCCAATGCAGAGGAAAAAAAAAACTTTATAAAAACACAGTGTCAAACATTCAAAACTTTCTCTTTTCTTCATTTGTCTTATAAAGTTCTCTTTTTGCATCCGTTAAAAACATTTGAGGGATCATCCTCAAGTAAATTTAATAATTTAGCGACTTGAATTTAGGTAATCACCCACTTTTAGTTAGCTATGTTGAACCAAATACACAATACAAATTTTCTTTAACCTTAAGGTGTCAATTTGTATCATGTTTTGTTCTAAATGAACCACAGTATTTTGTAATCAAATTTAAGAAGTACGCTGATATGATTAAACATAGCACCATATTAAAGGTTGCAGCAAACTTAAATGACTCAACTCGCTGTAAAGTTGCACCCATTCAAAAAATTAACTTTTCTCAACTCAAAGATGATTATGATTAGAATAATATTTATAATGGGAATATCGTTCGTAGAAAACTCGTTCAACACTAAATCACAATGTCGATACCTTAAGGAATAATATTGAGTAAATGTACTGAAAATTTTATTAGAAAAGAAATCGTAACATGTTTCCAATCAAATTGAATTACAGTGTCTTTTTCTTCTTTTCATAAAATTTAAGATGGTTTAATATGCACGATAATATTATTCAACATAGCATCATTTTAAGAGTGTAGAAAACTTGGACAATAATATGGTTCAACTCTCTCCGAAATTTATAACAGCAATGAGTAGTTATAGTTGTTTAGATTTAAAAAGCTACTGCATTTTTTCAAACTCAAATATCATAAAATGATTAGAATAATATTTATAATGGGAACATAATACATTCACACAATATCGATACCTTAAACAATTATGAGTAATTTTACTGAAAATTTAACAAGTAAAGAAATCGCACCAGGCTTCCATTCAAGTTGGAATTGTTTTTCTTTAATCAAATTTAAGCTGGTTTAATTTGCAAGATTATATGATTCAACTTAGCACTATCTTAAGTTTCTAGATAGCTTGAATGATAATATGGTTCTAAAAGCTCTGAAATGTATAACTATACATGCAATGAGTGGTTGTAGTTATTTATATTAAAAAAATTACTTTTTTTTTAAACTCAAAGATCATAAAATGATTAGAATAATATTTAATAAATAAATATAAAACGTTGTCAGAAAGCTCGGTTTAGTGCTATGCTACTGTTATTATTAGTACCATAATAACAGTACCTTGAACCGATGTAATGGTTTAGCTTGAGACTTACATGGGATAAAAAATCAAACCATGTTTATATTCAAGCAGAGTCATAGTGTATTTTTAAATCAAGTTTTAGATTCTTCAATTTATACTATAATATTATTCACCCTAAAGCCATATAAAGGTTGAAGCTAAGAATGATTTTTATGGTTCAGGGAGTCCGAAATTTCTGACAATGTATACTATTAATAATGGTAGTTATTTACATTAAAAAGAATTTTTTTTTACTCGAAGATCTTAAAATATTAGGAATTTCTTATAAAGCGAACATATATTCTCAGAAAACTT